ATTATACAGTTTTTATTCAAAACTGTATATTTGCAGTTTAAATTATTGTTAAATTTATTTGTATCGTATTTTGTTTATTAATAATATTTAAAATTGATTGTTTATACACATTTTAATTTTTAATATTATTCACCAAGTTAAAAACGTTATTGAGGTATAGGAATTCAAGAAGTCAAAGTCAGGACCATCAATAGTGCAACCTGAATGGCATTTGTAGCGAAGACAAAACAGTGAAAAACTGATAAGGTGGAGTATTGTAGCTTTGTCATTGTACCTAGTAACCTAAAAACCTTTGTTATTTTCTTTTTTATTATCATAGGTTTTTTTTTTTTTTGTAATATTCTTGACATAGCCTTTGATTCTATGTTTTACTTTAAAATTTCAAGAAATGTTTTCATTTATTTATTATTTTAAATTTTATTTTATTTAAGTTATTTTAAATCTGTGTTGTAAATTGTTACTTAAATATTAAGTTATTTTCATTTTATAATAAAATCAATAAAATAATTTACTACTCAGGTCGTAAAGTTGAGAGATAATGCAACAATAATATTCAATTTAATTATTCTCAATAAAACTAACATTATAAAATTTATCCTATTATATAAGTCAACTAATTAATTGCTTTTGAAAAGTAATAAAGTGTTAAATAACAGCTTAAATCCAAAGTGCTAACATAAATAAATAAGTAACATTTATTCAGTTATTATTTCTTTTAATCAAATCATTACATTTAATTTCATTTCAAATATTAAAATTAGTGTGTTTATGTTTAATTACATTCAATATTTAAATTTTTCAGATTTTCCATTGATTGGGGAATATCTAGTTCTTGGTTGAATTTTATTTCTTAATTCTATTTCTTAAAATATTAAAAAAAAAAATCAGATATATATGATTCTCATAGACTTAGACATAACTATTTTTAAATTTATGTTAAAATTAGTTTAACAATTTTCATGATTAATTTTAAGTGCATGTATATAACAAAATTGACACAATTTTAAGTTACATTGTTTAATAATTTATGATAATGGTAATAAACAAATTCACATGAAAACTGTAAAAATTATAAATTCATAGCTTTCATGCAGGGCTGTATTGTCGTATATCAAAGGAAGAAAAAAAATTGTAATAATAGAGAATTGTAATAAAAATTGGAGAAAGTTCGGTAGTGTTGGCAGATACGTTTTACATTGAGTTAGTTATATACATTTCAAGACTATCTTCCTTATAAAAGGTAAGAGTGATGCTGCTGTTAAGTAATGATCTCATGATGCACCTTAGTTGTGAGAGAACAACTGTTGACATGTTTACTCATGTAAATTTTATAAACGGAATTTATCTACGAACTATAAGAAATAAATAAAATATTTTAGTTTATTGAAAATGCTGAAAACATGCGTTATCAACGTAAACTAGGAATGGTGGAGGTACTTGTTACTCTATGTTAGGACTACCTCTGCGGCTTGATGTCCGGGTTGGGACTCGGCCCCCTGGCGAAGTGCACACCTCTGGAGGACAGGGAAGACACCGAGAAGAGCGAGAGGTCCGTGGTGACGGACTCGTGGGACGGCGATCGGAGCATTCTGGTCGAGGCGGGAGGCGGTGGCTTGTCTTCGGCCGCCATCCCGCTCTGCGGTCGATACCTCGTCGCTTCTGCGCCTCCGCCTCTCGTATCGATATCATCTCCCATCGAACTCTTATCTCACCGTGATACTCATCATCGTTCTAGGACCATAAAGCAGTACTGGAAGCCACTGGAGCACTTATCTTTTATTTAAATGTACATACATATATATGTATTTGTATAAATACAAAAAAAGTAATCAACAAGAATTTTTTAGCTTAAATGTCATCGTTTACTTGTATCACATTATTACAACAATTTGCAGATCCAGAGAAGAGCGCGCCCCCTTAAGAAAAAGAAAATTTTAAGTTTAGGAATAATTTTATATTCTATCCTCAGTATTTTTCTTTCTAACATGAAAAAATTTGGATTATTTTATCTGGACACTAATATATTTTCTTTTATTTATATTTACATAGTCAGTTTATATTTAAATAGACTAACGTATATAATTACGTATAGATTATAATAATATAATCTGGACATTAATCAGTAACATAGAAAGAAGTATAAAAAGATTTGAGATAAAATCTCCGCAAGATAGCCGGAAAGATCTGGAATCAGAGTACTAACGCATGGAGGAGAAAGACCAAACTGCTTACAAAAACTGGTCAATCCATATTTCAAAATATGAAGGCAAAGAATGAGTATATCGGGACCCCGAGACGCTCCCGTGTCTCCCACCACTACATTGAGTTAGGGTGGCTCTTCCCCTCCTTAAGAAGACAATATTTCCTAGGCACTTTCCTTTATCAAATCATTACCGATCATCGTCCTTCTTATGCCTACAACCTTCTCCAATTTAAGCCCTCAATCCATTCCCTCATTACAAGATCTCGACCCTCTGACCTATACATCCCTTCTCATAGATATACCTCATTCCAAAACTCCTTTATAGCTCGCTCTGTCAACTTTTGGAATCCCCTCCCGATCAAAATTCGGCATGCCCCTTCCCTATACACATTCAAAAACCTCCTATTCCAATTCCTGTTCCAAAAACAGTCAGATACCAGCTAACTATTAATACTATCTATGTATTGTGTAGCAATCATATAATCATAATACTTGGTAAGAGATAGTACATGCATTTCCTACTATCGACGTAGGAATTTCAATACATACATTTTTTTTTTTATTCAATTATAATTAACTGTTTATATATATATATATATATATATATATATATATATATATATATATATATATATATATATATATATATACCAGCTAACTATTAATACTATCTATGTATTGTGTAGCAATCATATAATCATAATACTTGGTAAGAGATAGTACATGCATTTCCTACTATCGACGTAGGAATTTCAATACATACATTTTTTTTTTTTATTCAATTATAATTAACTGTTTATATATATATATATATATAACGTGCTTGTCCATTTATATTAGGTGATTTTTGACGCTTGATAAGATTTACGGATTTTTTTTACTAATTTAATTAAATGTTTTATAAAATACACGCCTTATAATGCTTTCAAATGTTCGCTTTTCGTTCATCGCTGGCTTAATTGAAGTAACTTGAAGCAATTTTACGGGTTCGATAAACAATTAATACCACCCCTCCAACTCAATAAGACCTTGTAGGTCCAATATCCTCTCCTCCCTCTTACACTTGCAGGAGAGATAGCTCAAGTTTGGGATATCTTCGTAAACAAAAACACTACGGGGCAATTAATTTATTCTTTAGTTATTTAAATATCTAACCATTGATTGCGTTTCTTCAGAATGAAAAACATGATTTAAATAATAGGGGTTAATAGGTGATATAAAAAACAACAACAGTATTTCTAGCTATTTTATTACTTATTACAGGTATATAAAAATTAAATTAATAAAAATGGTAACTTAAAAATACTGATGATAAAAAGAGAAAATTATCGTTCATTATAATTATACAAATAATTTATTTATTAATATGCAACAAAACTTAAATTAAAAATAATTATTTTAAATGGCTATTGGTTGGTATTGATTTCATTCATATCAATTATTTAAGTATTTATTGCATAGGATATCCTTTCTGTCACATGTGGACAGTGTGGAAAAAAACTTAATATATCAGAATAATAGAAAGTAGATAATATTTTACCCTCTACAAAAAGCCAAAATAAAATGATACAATAACCCACAAAAATAGGTTGAATACTTTCTATAATCATACAAATATTTTATTTAACTAATATTGATACGTAGAATTCGAAAAAACGAATAAAAAATGTTTTGCCCGTCCGCCGTTCGCGCATTTTCTCCGAAACCACTAAACCGATTTTTTTTTAAAATTTGAATTTAAAATCAGAGGCCACCCGAGGTTGATCCTCCTTCATGGACATTTCTATCCGCCATTTACTTTCAAAATGGCGACTTTCAAAATTCATTTTCTTGACACCCTTTAAATTTATCTATATAACATACTTCAACGAAAAGAAGCTGGAAAAAAGTTACGAGAGATGGTAAAATTAAATTCCGAATAACTCAAAAAGTATACACTTTTGTGGTTATTTGAACATTTACTGAATTTTCTAGTAACAAAGTCTCTAGTTTTTTTAATATGTTCTATCGCAAAGGTTATGTCCTTTGTTTTTTTGTTTTTTTTTTAATTTTGAATGTGATACTGAAGTAATGCTAATATTTTTAGCATACGTCTAATGATTAAAAAAAAGTTTAATACAATAATTGGAATCATCTTTTATTTATTTTTCTTTGTAACTAGAAAGGTAATGTTACTTAAGATGTATAATTGTTTGGAAATAATAAACCATTGTGAAATAATTTGTAGCGTTTTTCTTATGTGTAAAATTATGAGAAAAATGAAATCATATATATATAAAGAAAATGGTAGGACAGAACTTAATTCTGATTTACGAGATTTTCTCTGAAGATCTCTTAAAATTAAGAGTAGATTTGACTCGTGAAGTGAACATTCACGAAAGAAGCCACTTTCTCTGACGTTCGAATGTGGTCTGAGCAGGTTCGGACATTTTTAATTTGCAGAAACTTCAAAACTCTATGAAACGTTTTCTGTCTAGCTTATAATATAAATGTTTTATTAAATTAAATTCAGTAAACAGGAACTTACGTATGCACATCCAAAAAATTATTAAAAATTAAAAAAAAATATGATAATAATTTAATATGAAGGGATTTATGAGAGATTCTTTATTTATTAATTTATTCCGTGAACATGTTTGAGATTCTAGGTCTCTTGTACGAAATATCGTAGAAAACATTTGACGAACGAATGGATATTTAATGATCATAAATAACATAAAACTTATTAAATCGAATACGCAATGCAAATTTATGAAACTGCAAGAATTAAATAATCTAACATTGGGTTGTCCTAAGACTCAAAATCAGGTATGTACATTTCCAAACTACGCAGTTACGGGATTAGTCAATATCGAGATTGCCCATCTTTCGCTGATCGGTCCTGGTACAGAGCTTTGCTGTTGTACTGAAATTTCCTTCGTTCCGGTAACGAGAAGGTGGGGTTGAGCTTGTGGTTTGGGTGCATTTGCTGCTGAATGGTGTATCTTTCTTGAAGCGCTGTGAGCCTTCCCCTGGTAGCCTGTAGGAGCCCGTGGACAGCGTTCAGGGTCTGAATGGGGATCTGTAATTGAAAATAGTCATGTAATAATTGACGATATTAATAATAATCAATGAAAATAACATTAAGAGGTCAGTAAGAACAAGATAATAACATAAGTAAGTACGTAATATAGGTTGGTGAGTTTGTCAACAGTCGTAGAATGACCATTCATATAGGCTATAGTTTATAAGCTATTTGTTTATTGGAACAACTACTGGGCAATCACTTTTTTTTTCTAATGCTATTATAAAAGATGTCTGATGATACTCTAATAAATAATAAATTTATATAAACTTTAATTAACAAAATGCACACATTTTTAGTAAAGCTACTTATTGAACCTCCGTTATTTTGAGCTCGGTTAACACGAAACGGCAGATATCACGAACAAGGAAAACTTGTTTTATTTGTGTAAAATTTTTTTTTACATGCTAGCACTTAGAGATACCGTCACCTTAAACTACTAATAATTGTTTTTGTTTTTTTTTTATAAAAAATGATGTTTTTATTTCTGAAACTTTTTGGAACGCCTAAAGGCGAAGAATTAAAATGGCTTTATGCTTCTACTTATAATTATTTTTTTTTTTAAATACTAAAATGTTTTCAATTGCACAAACAAACTCTTCCAATAATCTATATATTTGTTAAAAGACTTTAATGCCATGATTACAATTTAAATTTTTTTAAATAATATTGATGCCCAATTGCTTGGTAAATCAACCTAGTTTGGTATTTTTTTTTTAAATTTAAAAATTAATTTTTTTACGTATATATAGAACACATTAAGTCATAGTAATGATTACATGCTTGTGGATGTTAGGTAATTGTAAATTGTCCCATCATTCAAAGTAAAACCCGATGACACTTTCAACTCTCTTATAAAGGACAAAAGTAAAACAATGACTATTGTCCTAGGTCTATTATTGCACACTTGTAGACTCACTTTCATTGTAGCTCTCGTGTATTGCTTCTGAGCTAATTGGTCTATAGGATGATGTATTGTTGGCAGGTTTGCCTGGTTTCAGGAAAAGGACGATGGTGGAATGTTTCCATAGGAGAGGGAAGTGGGTAGTTCTTAAGATGCAACGATAAATATATGTAAGGAATATGATAGATTTGGGTGAAAGTTATTTGAAGGTAGGTAAGTTATTTGAACTCAGGTGGATTAACTGCTTTAGGTGGTAAGGAGAGGATTCGGTGAAGAAAGGAATTCTAATTTTGTGGTATGGAAGTTAAAAATTATAGCTAAAGAAATAAAATATGTTCATGCTATAGGGTGTAATACTATAATTTACCAACGTTTCGAATCTAAAAAATATTTTTAGCTTTTATTTATTTATTTTTTCTGTTGGCATTACAGACCATTTAGATATTTTGCCACCTTAATGAGCTTGCCCCATCTCTGCTTGTCTTGCGGTATTTCTTTCCATTTATCTGCAAGCAGCTCTGTTGCATCTTTGTTGGTTCTGTCTACCTATCTGCTTTTTGGCTTCCGCCTGGTCTTTTTTCTTCTCTTGAGGCATTCATTGTTACGTAGATCCAGATGGATTGCTAGGAGATACATGCCTCGTACATCTTAACCTCCGTGTCTTCATATCACGGAATATTGATTGACCAGTTTCTGTAAGCAGTTCTTTATTGGTCTTTCTTCTCCATGCGTTAGTACTCTGATCCCAGATCGCTCCGGTTTCTATTTATTAGTAGTCGTTTTCCGTGCGGATTTCTATTTAGTAGAAAATTGACACGGATCTCCAAAAATCTCAAAAACAGCTGGAAATTTAGAAAAATATTCCAGCTTCATTTCAAAATAGAATCTCATGGAATATATGAGTAATTCCAAAAAAAGTTGTATTCATCCTAACGGACCCATGGAAACAACTAAATAAATACTTCAAAATAGGATACTATTCAAAATATTCGTCTAATTTTTGTGGAGCTGTTAGCGTTAAAACCTCATGTCATATCTATTGCTCTGAATTTTAATGCTGCTTTTGGTACTTTTAACAATTCTTTGTTTTAAAATTACAAGAAAAACTGCATTAAATTTTAGGTAGTATGTAAGCCATTTAAATAAAACTATAGAAGAGAAGGTAAGTCCTAGTTTAATCAATGAATCAAAAGATTTGAAATAACACTGTAAGAGGAAAAGTTATCAAAATGCAGCACTACAATGTAAATTGTTTAATTTAATCCGTATAAAATTAAAACGTTGTAATTTTCTAATTTTTTACCACCATTACGCCATTCAAATACGACTATAATAATGTAAGTAAAATCTAATTTAATCAAAGAATAAACAAATTTGAAATTACTCAAAACGAAACGTAATCAAAATAAAGTACAGTGATGTAAATTGTTGGTATTATTATTTTACCTACGCCTAATACAATAAAAATATAAACTCTTAAATTAAGATTAATCTCTAAGTCATTTAAATTCAATTATGATGATTTTTTTTTTCCGAGCATCCATTTTATTTTTCAACTATTACATATATACTTACACACATATATATCTTTGTGAAGCTAATATTATACTATCTTCGTCAAAATAAATGGAATCGTTATACATAATTAAAGAAATTGTATGATAGTTCATTTACTGAGTAGCTATTTGATTTTTTCTCTTTTTATTAAATAAATAAAAAATACATTAACAATTTAAATTGCTGTGTCACTTCGCCCAATCTTGAAGTTGTCTCTTTGATAATGTTTTTTGAGAAACCACTTCAAGGAATATTGATTTTGAGTTGCTTAAATTTGATTTACGACTACGTTAAAAAGAGTTTAATTATTGTAAAAGATTTCAGGGAATTTAATCTCCAAGAAGATTGGTCACCTATCCGGTTGCTGACCCCTCACGATTCTGTTCAACTCGTCAACTGCACATCCGTTTTACAACCCTGACCTCCTAAAGACACCTTATAATAATTAATAAAATTAATTTTAAAAATATCACAACCAATTATACCTGAATACCATAGTAATTTCACTTTCATTTCATCACCAAACTTTTTTGTTTGTATTTAATGCAAAAAAATAATTTAAGTCCTACTGAAAAAACTAGAATCAGTATTCTGAAAGATTATATTTGACCTCAAGCGCTGTTTACTCTAATAATTACATTCATTAATGTTAACTGAAATTCTAACTTTGACGTCATCCATTTGAGTTAAGTCCTTTGAACTTTCGTCTCTTTATTGACTTCCATATACGTCAGCAAACAACTAACTTTGCTATCCGATTTCGAAATATCCCAGGAGTCTATTTTATACGAATCGTTCCCAGTCGGGCACGGGGTAGGAGCGTAGGCGAGGGTTTCTCTTTCGTCAACTCCCTCTCCCACGCTGTCCCGGAAAATTATTTATGGAATTGCTGCTGTAAGAGTTTCGGAAAGATTGGCTACTTCCTCAGAGAAAATTTAGCAACACCACAATAAAGAGAAAAAAATAGCAACAAAATAAATTAGCATTTCCACTTCACGCAGCAAGGTTTGCAAGGTGGATTGCGTATATGTGTCACCCATTCAGCATATCTGAGATAAGCATGGAATACACTTTTTTTTTTTCAACCATACAATTTAGAATTAAGTATATATAATTAAAACATAGGTTTCAGTAAAATTCCTATTACCAGTGAAAAAAAAAATATGTTGAATTACATGATTCAATCATTTATTAAAAAAAAAAAGAAGAAGAATATTATCTTATTTTTTTTCTTTCTCTAGGAAGCTTCAGTTTATATTTTTAAGGTTAAGGTAGTTAAACTTCCATTTTTTCTTTAATCTTTTTTAATCACATCTGACGATTCGGAATAATTTCCCCATCATCAGAGATTCCTTTATATTTACTGAAAAAATACACGTTTAAAGTGAACTATTATTAAATTGCTAATTTACCCCATTTATTGCCTAATTATTTACCTCGACTTTGTAATGTGGAACCAATTGTCAAAAATTACAATAACTATCATATCTATATTTAAATATAATACTTTTTTTTGGTGTTACACATTCATTTTATATATATATATATATATATATATATATATATATATATATATATATATGTATATATATAAAATGAATGTGTAACACCAAAAAAAGTATTATATTATTATATATTAAAGTATTATATAAATATATATGTATATATACATATATATATATATATATATATATATATATATATATATTTATATATGTACATATATTACTATACCAACCAACACTTATTTCAAGTTCCTTTATTGTACTTTGCTCCTGTCCACTTATTTCTCATTATGGCTGTTTGTTGTTGTTGTATTACCTATTGTTATTTCTGAATTTTAATATTGGATATTATGTCTGCGTAATGTGTACCTAAATATTTCGTATCCGTTTTATAATTTACTGTTTTATTATTATTTTTTGTTATGTATATGGCTTCTAGTAGTTTTCTTTTGTTTGTTTTTGGTTCTATTGCTAATATTTGTGGGTTTTTGAAGTCAAATGAGTGTTGTGATTTTATACTATGGTTTGCCAGAGCTGTTAAATTAATGTTTTTACTATTTTTACAATTTGAAGTATGCTGAGAAATTCTGGTTTTGAGTTTTTTTTTTTACGTTTCGCCAATATATATTTGCTGACAATGTTGGCAGTTTAATTTGTAAATAACATTTTTCTTGTCTAATGCCTTTATTTTATCTTTTGTATTTGTTAAGTATTCCCCTTAACAAAAAAATAAAAAGAAAAAAGAATATTTTTATTATTTTGTCAAAATTTAATTGAATATTTAATAGTTCAGCGTTGCATTATAAAGGAAGGAGATGGTTCCGGGTGGCGGTCATAATTTAATAAAATAGTTTTGCCACTATTTAGCCTATTTATGACCGCCACCCTGGACCATCTCCATCCTTTTTCAAAATTTAATTAATTAGTTTTAATAAAAGAGTTTTTAATAGTTCCTCGTTAAAATAAAAAAAGTGTTTTAAAAATTATTTATTATAATCTGCATTTATTTATTATTTTTTACCTATGATAAGACAACATTTCATGAGACACTGCTGGAAACATGTAGAATAATAGGGAAGGCGTTTTTATAGATAAACAATTTTCTCTACTAAAATTCAATACTTCTGAAAAATCATAAAATATTCTTCTGGGATTTTTGTTGATTAAATTTCTTTGTAAAAAGTATAATTATTCGATATCGAGTCATACTTCCCCTAGCTTATACAATCGCTTGCAGTCTCTTTGACATGCAGCTAATTAAAATGAAAACAATTTGTAACTTGATATGACCAAAACATTAGGACTACAGGAAACTACCTGGTTCTGGAGATCAGTTCAGATGTAAAAGGAAACTAGTAACTTGGCGAAGACAAAAGACAATCTTCAGGAGGAAACCAGCTTCAAGTCGACCAATGCCAGTTCCAGATGAAGACTTATTTATTGTAACATAAACTCTCCGAAATGATTTCTAGACAGCAGCGGACACTTAATAATTGCTTTTAATGCCAAAAATTGTGAACACTAGTATGTATACTATATGGAGGTAGTTTGCTGATGTTCACCTTCAATCAAAACCTTGTAGGAATTCAACTCGTCTCAGCATATCATGCTCCTTGTCTCTGGGTTGCTTATCGATTAGCTTCGACGGAGAATAATTGGGCACCTTGTTATGTTTTCAGTTTAACGAATACGAAATTTGAGTATTATCTTCAGATCGCGTAGTTAGCGTTTTGAGAATTCAAGGACAGCGTTTTTCTTATTGTAAGCTTCACATCAGAAGACGTGTGTAAGTAATGCAGAACCGAAACCAGAAAAGAGCAGAGAGGTGATTGTCTTGAGAATGCGGCACGTTTCGAGAATAGGTTTTTGTTTAAAGGACAAATATTTCTTTATACATTTGGTTGCTCTGACATTAATTCAGTCAATGACACGAGTTGTTATTATTTCATAATTTTATTTATTTACAAATACAATGCCTAATATACTGATACAACATGTTGAATTATATAGAGGGCGATGGAAGGTGAAAGAAGCGTGGGCAAAATTAAACTCATCCCTCCAATTAAAAATGATAGTTTATACCCTAAATTAATAATATGAGGTGTGAACACCCACGAGACGAAGGCTGGTCAATGTATTTTTGAAAGGGATCTTTGCAGCACAGATTTACATATCAACGTCCTTGAAAGATTACTCACAGCAACAAGAGTAGGTTAGGCACTGTCGAACGGATCTCCTGAAACGGAAACCTTTGGTGATACTCTATTCGATACTATTATACTATAATAAACTATTGATGACGCTAATATTCCATTAATATTAGACACATATTCCGGAGTTCTTGCTGATGGACCTCACGAATTTAGAAATAAAATAATTTACATAATTTCAACATTGTTTTTATATTTTTGTTTTCTCTCTTGGGTTTGCACGAATTTCTCGATAGTTGAAAAATAAAATCTTTTTGCTGAATATCGTCACCTCCATTTAATGTTTTTATGGGATCCGGATACTTTGCATATATATAACTGGTTACAATGTTTCTGAGAATGGTGTCAATGTTATCATTAGAGGTAGAGATAAGTTTAAGATTACAGTCTAAAGAAAATCCATTTGCTAAAACCTTAACTTGTCCCACAATGGGAAAGCATCTTCCGAGCTGATAGTCTCAATAAAGAAATTGATTAAACTTCGAAATAGATTTTATTCGGTATAGTCCGTTTTACAGACCCCTTTTTATCGAATTATTAACATCCGCCTGAAACTTCGTAAATAGTTTCATCCCATTGTAACCTAAAACTATTTTATTTACGAAAATCTTAGAATTGGGGCGTTTTCAATCTGAAGAAAGGCAAACTTTGTCTATTTAATTAGGTAATAAAAACTCGTAAATACACATTTGCTTTCTACTTGGATCATAAGATAATTTGATCAAAAAGTCGATAAATAAGGTGGCCTTAAAAAATATTGAGCCGTTTGGCGTGATCTACCCCCCAAAATTTCAAAATTAAGAGGTTATATTGGACAAATATTCTTGTAGGCCGTTTTTTTTTAGCGATTTTGTGACCAATTTATCTTATGATCCAAAAAGAAAGCAAATGGTTATATAAGAATTATTATCAACTAATTAAAAAGACAAAGTTTGTCCCCCTCCATATTGAAAACGCCCTAACTCCAGTTTTCCCTAATTGAGTTTTCATAAGTAAAATGGTTGTAGGTTACGATGATATTTACGAAGTTTCAGGCGGCTTTTAATAATTAGATAAAAAGGGGCCTGTACCACAGACTAGTAGTTTATGGTTCCTATTGTTTAAAATAAACAATGCAGCCAGAACAATCTTCCAATCAATTATTCATTCTCCAAGTAATTTCAGGGATTATTTTTTACAGCTGAGGCGACTTTAGAAGCGTTTTTCAAACCTGACCTGTCAAATTCCATTAATATTGTGCAGGAGACATTTAATACAATAGGCTTTGCGTTGAAATTATTGGATTGGCATCCTTTCTTTAGCTAATAGCCAGTTATATCACCTACCTCAACTTTTGAATGTAATAATTTAAAGTATCAGAAGATATTACTTTCATCATATTGATGTGGATATCGTTTATATGGGAGTGTTTATTTCTGATGAGTAAATATTTTAACAATTTTTTTGTTTTGAAAATTTATCTTTATCTGTAAATTTACATTTAATTACTTAACGTGTCTAGCGGAAAATGTTACAAGTGATGAAACAACACTGCCCACCCGTTGACCTGTTCTAAATGTTGTATGTTGCAGCAGTGTTTGCGACAACTCTCTCTACTTATTAAAATTCTATTTTGATTTTGAAATAATAAAAACAATATGCTTATAAAATATTTATTCATTCACCCGTTTACAGATAAAATATTCACTTTATTCGCATTTATGATCTTGCAATCATTGATTTCCATGTTAATAAAGGAGAAATGAAGGACTGAAGTAAATTATGGCCAGGTGAAGTCAATGGAGCTTTATTAATAGCTTCCATTCAATTAAGCTGGACTCTTTGTGATTTAACAAGCATTTTACATCTATAAAAGATAATTTGATTGTTCGCCCTTTTTGATGCCATTTATATTTTGCGTTCACCATTTCAATTTAATTTACTCGGCCCTCTTAATTTGATCAATATCAATCAATCCCTTTAATAAGTATAGAAGAGATCAAAGAACTTGAAGGCTCCATATATTTTTATTCATTTCCTTTTCTATAGGCCATAATATAGATTAGATTATAAGTGAAAACAAAAAATCGGTCAACGTTATTAAGTTGGACGTATATCAGTTTAATAATTTATCTTCTGGTTAAAATTCCATAAAAATAAATAAATAGGTAATATACAAGGTGGTTAAATAATGGGAAATATTTAAACTCATGATAGTAGACTCCAAGACAAGAACAGTTTTTTATTCCATACAAAATTTCAGAAAATTTAAGTTGTTTTTTTTTATGTGTCTGGTTTTGGTTGTATAGGAAACAAGAAATAAATAAATTTTCTTCAAACAGAAGT